CAAAACATGTATCTTTAAAGATATTTGAGGGCTGATGAAAGTTTAGGAGCTCTGGTGGCACAGTGCCTAAGGCACTTGACTGCTAACCAGAAGGCTGGAGGTTCAAATCCACCAGCCACTTCCTGGAAGGAAGGTTGGGCAATCAATCTACTTCCGTAGTGATACTGCCTTGGAAACCCAAGGTGAGGTCACTATGAGTCAGATCTGACTTGATGGCAGTGAGTTTGGTTTTGGTTTGATGAAAGTTTAGTGTTCATGAGCTATAATACTTTATAGTCATTAATATTAATTAGTGAAATGCCAACAGTATCCCATGACAGAATGCAGATCCTAAAACCTCCTAAAATATTAGAGATCTAACCAAAAACTTTTAAGTCTTTAACATTCTCCCAACTCAACCAATTTCCTTCTGTTTCAAAATTTTATTTATTTTGTTTTTGTTACTGTTGAGGACACACACATCAAACAGGTATTAATTCAATGGTTTTTCACGTATCACCCAGTGACACTGATTATATTCAGGTTGTGCAACCACTCTCCTCCTCCTTTTCTGAGTTGCTCCCCCCCGCCTTTAACATAAACTCATTGTCCTTTAATGTTCCTGCCTAATCTTTTGAGGTGCTGTTGTCGTTTTGATGCCATATGGAGAGTTCTTAAGAGTATAATGCTCAGGGCAGATCTTCTTCACTAGTGAAGCTAAACTACTGTTTGGTTTTAAGAAGATTTCAGGGGATATTTCTGGTTTAAAGATTATCTCAAAGCACTAATTTCTGGGCTTCACCCAGTTTCCTTGGCTCCAGAAATTCCGCATTTCCCCTCTTTTCATCAGGATTCTGCTATAGGCTCTTAGCTCAAAATGTTCAGTAGTAATGATAGCCAGGCACCATCCAGTTCTTCTGGTCTCATGACAAAGGAAGTAGTTGTTCATAGAGGCAATTAGCCACATATTCCATTTCTTCCTCCTATTCCTGACTCTCCTTCTTCATCTGTTGCTCCAGGTACCAGGTCAGTTATTTCAACTTAACAGTCTCTAAATGGTAGGAAAGGAGCTCTGGTGGTATAGTGGTTAAGGCATTTGGCTGCTAACCAAAAGGTCAGTGGTTTGAACCCACTGACCCACTCTACAGAAGAAAGATAAGACAGTCTGCTTCCATAAAGATTCACAGCCTTGGAAACTCAATGGGGGTCATGGTGAGTTAGAACTGACTCAAAAGCAGTGAGTTTGATTTGGTTTTTAAATGGTAGGAAGCCTGGTTTAGATCATTTTAGCCTCAATAAAACTAGAAGAAGTGATAGAAATGGAAGGCTCTCAGATTCTCAGTCTTCCCACACATTTGATC